CCTCAGCCAGCTTTGCTGGCTGAGGAATTCTGGAAGTTGAAGTCCACAAGTCTTAAAGTTGCCAAGGTTGGACGCCCCTGCTTTATTACATTCGTAACTCGAGGATTACCTGTATATTTTTTGTATTACTGTATTCAGGCCTTAAATGTGCAGCTTTTAAAATATTAAAGCACAAAAAGCAGATTCATTCTCAATCAAACATTTCCCCCCACTTCTTATTTTATATGAAACTTCAAAAACAAGGGCAAGAAAATAAAAAAAAATAAAAAAAGAACTTGGTAGTCCTGTTTATTTTAACAGGCATGGATTCTCAAGCTTCAGCTTTTCCTTCAAAAGAGGAAATGCTGGGAAAGATGTGTCCCCTTCAGATCTAGTCTTGCAATAATAGTAAGAGTGGCAGGTTTTTTTTAAAGATACTGATATTATACTGATCATTAGTATATGAGAAAAATGGGATGCTCAGGCCTCACATCCTCATTAAATGGCAGCTTTCTCAAACTTGATACGTATTCACCACAGAAAAGCAGCACTGCATTTTAAGTTAAATGTCTTATTTTTAGCATGTATTGGGTGGAAGAATAAGGAAATAACTTTTCTCAGTGGAAGAGAAAAATGTCCTATGGTTAATTGATATAGTTCACATAAGATCCATATGTTCACCAACTCATCCCAATGATAACTACTGGAATGAAGAAAAAAAAAACCTTCGTAATAACAAAAAAAATCTATTGAACTAGACAGATCAATCTAAGTCACTTTAAGGCAGTTTCATGGTTCATCTACCAACCGGGATTTGTAATAAAATGGGAAATGGAATGGCAAGCATTCATTCATCAGAAGAACAAGATTAACCAGGAGGCTCAAGTTTCAGAAAAGGCTCACATTTTAAAAACCAGAACCACGTTTTATTCCTGCAAGGCACAAAGTGTGCTCTTACAGCATCTAGTTCTCCCTATAACAGGCTGCAAAAAGTTAAATGGATAATTAGGCACCTAAGAACTACACAGTGTTGGAGTAGCAGCCCTTCCAACTACGTTACTGCTCTTTGATGCGTCAGAACTTTAATGTCAATTAAAAAAATATTCTATTCATTTACATCTTCAGCAGATACCCCAGCATATACTTAACAACTATTGATTGGTATCTTTGCTTTATATGAATTCGCCAATCAGATCAAGAACCTGAGAATATTACATTTTAAAGGGAAAAGAAACTTAACAATTTTGAAGATGGCATTTTTATTGTTGATCTTCAAAATTCAGTTTTCTACAAAGGAAAGCTATTTCTTGCCCTGAAAAAAAAATCACAAGATCCAGCTATAAATTATTCAGCTAAAATATTAGGACCCAAATCCTTTATAAAGATTATCTATACTAAAGGTTTCCAGAGAATACAGATGCAGTACACAGAACATGCTGGCTACATATTAAAAAGGAAGGATGCCAGTGCTTTCATGCCTTCTTTGTGTGGTTCCCATTAGCATCCAAGCTAATAATATGATCTGCTCCACCAAAACCTTTCTTTTGAATGGAAACACAGGATTATAAACTTTGATGGAATGAGAATACGTTATTTCAGAGTTCTTACATAAAATGCAATGGTTTAAAAACCGCACAGCTGAGTGAGAAGATTCATATTCAAGGCTAATCCAGTCGTACGAGTCCAGAAAGAAACCGGTATTAGATAAATGTCACTCTACATACTTTGAGACATCTCCATCTCAACCAAAATATTTACCACTGCACTAAGCCACAGTTACTTAATCTTACTGAATAAGTTAATTGGCTGTGTTCACAGACCATGATAAATCATTCATCAACATTTATAAACCACAATAGCTAGGTCTATACAGCATGATAAACATTATTGTGGTTATTTGGTTTAGGAAATTATATGCCCCTAGTCATTAAGATCTCCTAACTCCTTCAAAAGAAGTGCTTCTAACTTTGTGGGGTTTCAATCAAAGCTCCTCTTTTCACTAAAGTAGTCACAGGGGAAAAACAGGTAGAGATAGCTGGAAACGACAGCACAAACTTGGCAAAAATATTTTTGTTTGATTGAGGAAGAGGTGTTTTGTACATAGCCTTGTATCTGGAAGCAGCTCTTTCAAAGGATTTGCACAGCCTTATTAGCCTCTCTATAATATTAGTTATGGCTAGCTCTTCCTGCACATTTGCTTACTAACTGTTACTGAAACATCTTCTATGTAATGAGATGTATATAATATTTGATATGTATCCATTCACTTACAAGAGAGCAGAATCAAAGCCAAGGCAATATATATTGATACCAGTATCAGGCCCCAGGAAAACCCAGAATTGTTTGCCTCTGTCATATTATTAAAAGCAAGCAAATTATTGGTTTCCTCAGTACTTCTGCACATCCTGAAGGATAAAGAAAACATGCAGAGTTCTAAAGTTTTGTCACATTGCCACAGCAAATTCTACTATACACCTTAAGATTGTCATAAACATTACCCTACAAATTTGCAGGAATATATTCACAAAGGTCAGAGTTTTTACCTTTACTATTTGATAAAATGCAAGCTGTGGTTTTTCCGAGTATTTGCTTTCAATACTACATTTCTGTCAGGAATATTCACAAGAATACTCATAATTCTGAGCTTGTACAGGCCACCTAAAACCAGGGATTATGGGCAGCCATCCAAAGAGGCAAAAGCTATTTCCCATTCCAAGTTCTTTATGCCTACAGTTGTCATGTCCCCAAGTCTGGGACAAGGTGGAGAACTGGTACTTAAGCTGCTTATGTCTGTTGTACAAATCTTTGGGAAATCACACAAAAAGTCTTGATTTGGGAGGTTCACTTGAAGAAAAGCTATTGAATCAGTACTTCCATAATGTCATCAAGAAACGTTCACAGATAGCTAGAAAAACAAGAGCAAAAGCAGAGTTGTGCGAGAGGACGTGAGGTAAACAAGCATGTTCCCTGCATAGTAAGAAGTTTCCAAGTGGAAGTAGCATGCAGAAGGCAACACACACAAAAATATAGCATGTCGAGGAAGGGAGGATCTTGCATCTGGACAAACAGCAGCATGGCTCTTTTTTAAGGCAGGCTATCACTAGTTCATTCAAGGCAATTGGACATACCAATTTCAAAAGCTAAATACTTGCTAACCATGATCAATACTTTAAATTAACAATTGCTAGCTGAAGAAAATGCAGGCCCTGGCAACACCTCCACAAGGACAGAAATCAACCACAGCAACAAAATAAAGTAGCAATGCCAAAATCACTCTGTGTGAGCTGACACAGGAACGCATGTGACAGGTGATAATGCTACTCAAAAGCAACAAACGGACATTCTACTGATATTTGAAAGAGACTAAACCAATCATATATGGAAGGCTTTGGATCAGCTGTAATACGGCCACAGTATTGCTGATAGGATGAGGACATGGACTTAGCCATGCAAGTGCTCTTAAATCTGGCTACATACAAGGGAATTTCTCAAAAGTTTTCTGCAGCCCTCAATGTATGCCACCCAGCATGTTCAAAGAGATAAAGAATGTCCTAGTGGATGTGGTGGGATGAAAAAAAGAAAAGAATGAATGCAAATATATGAGAGGTACAGTCATTTCACCCTTGAGGAAAACAAAGCACAAGCAGCAGCCTAAGCTATTTTTTTTTCTGAAGTGGTCAGTAGCAATTCCATTTAACGCAGCCAGCACTGCTTATTCATGTGTTGATGTGCAGTTCGGATTATACAATGTTCAACACCTGAGGTCTCAACAACCAGTATGTGTCACTTTTATAAACTCCCTCCCACTCAGGCCATCTCAAGGCATTCTTCTTGCCTTCGTAATGTAGCTAATAAATAGAACAAAACCATCTGCACCAAACAAAGCAAGCTGTGGGTTTGACCCTGCTTTCTGAGACGTCCAGAAGCTAGCAAGGCTTATGAGAAATTGCAGCGAGCCAGTGTGAGAAGGAAGGAGCAAGGCACAAGTAAATGGCAACTCTCCAGAGACTCAAAATCATCTGTCTGGGAAAGAGGAGAGGCTGGAGGAAGGCTTGAGTCTAAAGCCCTCCTTTAATGCTTATAGAATGAGATGGAGAAGAGAGCTGGCACCGGTGCACCCCACTGATGCACTGAAGGTGGTGTCTTGGTGGCATCCTTTGGATCTTCAACTAAGGGATATCTTCTGGAAATATTCAGGGTGCAGCACTTCAAGGAAGGGAAAGCCAGCATGAAGCGCTTATCATTCCGAAAAGGAAACTAGAGAGAGTGTAGACTTGACGACTGTTGTAACCTTCATGCTTCTTTCAACAATGGAATATCTGGAGGGAGGGAGAGAGGGAGGGAGGGAGAGAAGAGGATGTTAGATAATCTTTGTTTGGTTCCAGGTTTCAAAGACAACCCAGCACAGCCCTGATGGAGTCTATGAAGTCCATTTGAGCTACAAAAGTTCTTATTTAACCAGCCAAGTTTCTATAAAAGCTTGGCATTCTTTAAAACTTTCACTGGCTGCGTTTTTGCAAGGCTTTTCCCTTAGAAAGGCCCTAGAGTCTAATCATAAGAGCTTCTTTCGATTGACTCAGACAAGAGAACAAAGCTTATTTATTCTTCCCAATCCTGGGATCAGACTAAGGCTCCTTCTAATAGGGAGAACTGTACCAGTCAGAGACTGGTTTTGCCCTGTGTCAGTTAAACTCCTAGTCGAGAGAAAATACTATAAAATAAATTGTGCACTAGGTCATCTGGTGCTATAGAATAGGCAGATTTTCATTGGAAGAACTTCCTCCTTCTGTCATCTCTGGGGATGCCTTCTCATAGCTTCCATCCTGGAGGTAGAGTACCAGGCCACTACCATCCACATGTCTCCAGTCATTCTATAGGGTGGCTTTGCCATTCTCTACATAGTAGCTGGCTGTTTTCATGAGCCCTTCTCATTTTAAAAAGAAAATGCACCAGGGTCAGGGTTTTGTGGCCGGCCTGAAGAGAAACTGTCCAGTTCAAGCATGAACAACTCCGGGGTGAAGAGATGCTTAGTAATGTAGAAGTGCTGCAGAGAAGTAAGGGAGGAAGGCCTAAGCTGCCTTTTCAATAGGTATTAAAGTATTCTAGAGTTTAAAATGCATGAAAGTTTAGTTTTGGATTTCTAAACTTCTATACCAGAATAAATAAAGACCAAAGATGAAATAAATTACGCATCTTAGAACCCTGCATTAGTAAGCCATGAATGTAAGACTAGGGTTTTTCTGTTTGATTTTTCTGTGTACTTTGGTGAAATGCACACAAAATTGCAATTAAATCTATTAATGGGCAACCCTATGGAATTATTAAGGAGAATATGTTAGGAAGGAGATCTCTGTGTGGAGTGCTACAGGGTTTGGTACTTTCTTCACTGCTGTTTAATTTCTACATGAAGCCAATAGATGAGATTATTCAATGACATGGGGTAGGAGCCATCAGTATTGCTGACAACACCCAGCTTACACTTCTACTTTAAATGATGTTGTGGGGGGTCTAGTCTCAGTCTCTGGGATTTGGATGGGGAACAACAGGCTTCAGTTCAACCCCAAGCAAAATTGAGTGGTTTGGGGTCTTGGGGCCACCTGGCTCCAAGTGTGGATCCTGCTGGTTTTTCACAAGGTCCCGAAAACATGGTTCTGCAATGAGCATGGGGACCTGGGAGTGTGATAAGAGCCTGTGCCATGGCTGCATTGACAGTTATGGTCAGATATGACTACTTCACCTATGAATTTTCCTGTAAGTTTTATACATGGTTATATATTGTTTTTAACTTGCTGTGTTTGTTTTGATGATATTCTTTTTAATTGTTTGTGAGTCACCATATATTGAGATGGATGGCTATATAAATTGGATAGATAAGATAGGTGATGGATAACATAAAGGTTCTGGAACAGTTTTTCTCTTGAAGATTATGCTACTATTTCTGGATTCAAGGAATAAATGGAGCTTGTAGGATTTACATACATTTTTATTCCAGATATATAAATCCAGATTCAAAGACTTATTTCACATTACTTACCATCCATGTATTCCTCTGAGGAAGCAAGTGATAAAAGGCTTTGTACGTCGCTGTTTTCTGAGTCTGAAGTCTCTTTGTGCCCAGTTTTACTACTGGACGTGCCAGCCACCCAGGAAGATGTGGTCGCTTGATGCACTAGAACAGTTTCTGAGTGGTGAGAGCTGCCAGCTTCACCCAATCCAGAGCGTCCAGGGGTTTCATCCTCCCTAATAAAGCCACTGGGACCCACTTCGTCTGGTGGTGGCTGTTGCATTTCCCTTGCCTCGCTCTGTCCAGCGCCTTCTGAAAGGACGATCGGAATCCGTGTATCTGAGGATGATATGCAGTTTCCAGCACTGCCATAGACAGCTTCTTCATAAGATGGCAAAGCTACCTGAACTCCATCCACCATAATAGAAACCTGGTCCCCAGAAACACCTTGATCACGCCTGTGTTTGGAATTCAAAGAAATATTTAGGCACAATGACATAAGCAGCATTTTATGGAACAATAAAATGGTATAAATAAAATAGGGCTAGCAATCCTATTTATTTCACTGTTGTTTTAGAGGGAAAGGTATTAGTAACGAACCATATCTGGTTTCCTCCAAATGTCTTAAGACCACAATTTTTTAGAATTCTCAAGCACCATTTCAAACTGGCACAGCCATCAGATATTTAATGAACTGTAAGGTGAGAGCCAGTTTGGGGCAGTGGTTAAGGTACCAAGCTTTGACACTGGGATATTATGAGTTCGAGTCCCACATGAAGGCACAAGCTGGGTGACCTTGTGCTAATCACAATCTCTTAGCCCTAGGAAGAGATAATCTTGCCAAGAAAACTGCAGGCACTTATCCAGGTAGTCACCAGAGTCAACACTGACTCAAAGGCGCAAAAACACAAAAACCCCAATGTATATATAGGACATAAATGGGAGAAGGTTTTAAATAATCCTAAAATACATCAGGATATTCATCTTGGGATTATTTTCAATGAGGTAGGCCAATTCTTTAATGAGTAATACAAACTTTCCTTCCTAACATGAATGTGCTTATGAAATTGTTGCTAACTAAGATCGGGAACTAAAACTCCTGAACAATACTGAGGGACTAGGCTAGGGTCTTCATTCCAGTTAAGACTGATATATCCCTATTATGTGCTTTCAGGTGCCCTTTATTCATTTAACATTATGTTAAGTTTGTTGAACATGTTACTTCAGAACTTTATATTGCCACTGTTTCATTACAATGTTTACCTCACAGACAGTATTGGGCTTTAAAGTACTTTCCATGATCAATATGCCACTACTGTACTAGCTGGTGAGCACGAGGAGACCCAACTGTGTTCCAGTTTAAAGTTGCAGAAATAGGTAGGCATCATTATAATCACTGCATAGTGAGATTTGTCCCATCCCAGCTCTACATTCTGGAGGAAAAATGTCTGCCATCTTGTCAAACCAACTACAGTGCCATGACAATGCCAAGTTAATCTGGGAACCAAAACCTCTTTGGTTATTTCAGTTTTATATTGGGCAAATTAACACCCCGCTTCTCTTTTCTCAAGAAAAGGGGATATATAACAATATGTGTAATACATTTCCTAAAAGCACCTCTTATTTTCTCAGTAAGGCTTAACCCAACAATGTAAGATAGGAATAAAAGAGGAAATAAGAGAACCTGTAAAAACGTATCTATCACCACCTAAATGAGCTGCGCCAGAATTACTTCTATATCGTAGCTCATAGCTTATAGTAATTGCACTATGGCTAAAATAGAAGGATGCAGATGAAAATATGTTCAGGAAGAGAGGTTAGATATGATATGGTTATTACATTTCAATGGCAAATTATGTTAGTATTAAATAAAGAAAGACAGAATGGCTTCACTGATAAATCAATTTCCTCATGCTATCCTGGGCCCACAGTCAATTAAGGAAGAGTATGTTCTTTTATAACCTTATAAATTGTTAGCATTCTATAGATTAGCCATTTCTGCTGGAGTCAGAACTATGGGTTAATTTGAAAGATATGGTATGCCAGGTAAACTGTGACACATCTAATTCTACTTACAGCAGTGGTGGGATTCAAAAAGTTTCATCACCGGTTCAGTGGGTGTGGCTTTGTGGGCGTGCTTTGCAAACATGCACACCAGTGGTGGGATTCACATTTTTTTACTACCGGTTCTGTGGACGTGGCTTGGCAGGGGAAGGATACTGTAAAATCTCCAGTCAGAGGTGTGGCATTTGCTGGTTCTCCAAACTACTCAAAATTTCCGCTACCGGTTCTCCAGAACTGGCCAGAACCTGCTGAATACCACCTCTGATGCACACACTTTGCGTGCACGTGCATGTCAAATGTGAACTTTGTGCAGCCGCAGAGGCGTTTGCGCAGCCGTAGAGGCGTTACAACTCACCTCCTGCAAGCCTGCACTCTCCCGGTTGCTTCAGCAGCTGCCACGCGGCACTCTTCTGTGACATGCAAAGCAGCTGCACTTCAAAAGCAGAGGATAAAGGTGAGTCTGGGAGTCTGGATGGGCAGGTGGGCCCAACAGCAGAGCTGTGGAGAGAACCGGTTCGGTATCTGCTGCTCATTGCCACTACCGGCTCGGAAGAACTGGGCTGAACTGGTAGAATACCACCACAGGCTTACAGGGACTTCATAATTAGAAATACTTGAATTTTGTCTGCATCCAAGCTCTATGCACCAAGCAACTACCTAAAAACCGCCAGACTCACTGGCAACATTACCACTATTATGCAGCCTGTGTTTCTTGCCAAAGTGTACTGGAAAAAAATGAACTCTAAATATCGCCAGGCAATGATCTGAATTTCCTACAACCAAACACATTTCACAAAACTGAGCAAGATCTGAAAAGTGAATGCAATTTATAGAAGTCTATTTCAAACACGGCCATTTGATTTATAACACAGTATAAAATGTGTAGAGTCAGATGTTTTCTGTAAGTAAAGTTAAACGGGCCCTAGAAAAATCACTGTGAACAGAGCTGCAGGAATTTGTGACATATCTGTGGAACTGTTTCATATTTTGCAAGGATGATATTCTAAAATACTGCTGACAGTTCAAATGGAAAACACAGCAGTAGCCACAGAATGGGAAATAGGGATCTGTATTTAAAACAAAAAGACCCTGCCCAAATAATTGCATGCGCTACACACATTCGGTGGATAACTAAAAAGGCAAGCCAGTCCCCTAAAAGCCATTGATTTTTGTTTTATTGATTATATTAATATCTTTGCGTGAACCACAATGAACTACAGATAGCTATTAAACACAAGGGCTGGACCACTGTATCTGAATATTTTGACAATTTTTACGACATTTAGGAAGCATCAGTTAAAATGAAATATGGAATAACACATTGGGTTCAAAACTGGGAGAGGAGTGTACCAAGCTTATATACCATCACCCTATCTTTTTAATTAATATGAAGAACATAAAATGAAAAGTGCTGGATTGGAAAACTTAAGTTGGAATTAAATTTGCTGGACAACCTCAAATAGGCAGAAGTGATATGACCTGGTGGATAGAAGTGGGGAAGGCTTAAGGAATTCCTTGCTAAAGTTTTAAAAACAGAATGGAAAAGCCAGTCTAATTCAAAATTACCAAAAATATATCAAGTGCGGAAGATCACCTATTGCAAGCAGGTGAAGCAGCAGCAACAAATACCGTGTTTCTCCAACAATACGTCCCCCCCAATAGGAAGTCCCAGCATGTTTTATAGGCATAAAATGAAATTAAGCCCCTCCCCCCAAATTTAGGCCTATTTTAAAACATGCGAAATGGGGGGAAAGGGCGGGGGGAGGCCTTGCCATTAGGAGCACCCCACAGGCAGCCATGCCTCGCCACCAGCCACTCCTAACGGCCGATCATGGCAGAGGACGGAGAGCTCCCTACTCCCGCCAAGTATCTTTGCTGCAGACCCAGGTATGGAGCTGCCTGCAGGACAGGTCAGTGGGCGGGTGGCGGCAGCGTGGATGTCGGCCTCGGCGGGGCGCCTGCCGCCGCCGCTTCCTCTTGGAGCATCTTCTTCCATTTGGAGCGTCACCACCACTACATTTGGATTGTCACTGCCGCGTTTGGAGCTGCCACTGCATTTGGAACAGCTGCCACTGCGTTTGGAGCAAACAGAATGCTCCAAGAGGAAGTGGCGGCGGCAGGCGCCCTGCCGAGGCTGACATCCATGCCACTGCCACCACCCACCCACCCGAGGATGCAAGGGGGGGAATTAAGTCACCCCCCAAAAGACATCATAGCCATTTTTTCAGGGCTAAAAAAAAATAAGACCCGGCCTTATAATATATGAGAAACACAGTACTATCTTCTTGGGTCAAAAATCCACAGGATTGGATATAATTACAATTATATAATATAATTACAATTAAAGGAGCACCAGCTTCTAGGAAGCTATGATAAATCTAGACAAACTTTTAAAGTGTACAGACATCACACTGCCAATAAAATTGCCTACTGTTAAACCATATGACTGTAAAGTTGGAGGATCAAAAAGGCTAAAGAAAAAAACAATGTCACTGAACTGTGGGGCTAGAAAAATAAAGGACATTGGACAGCATCAGCATCATCCTACCATTTTCCCCGCAGGTACAGAGTCCTCTAACATTGGATAGCAAGAAAAATAAATTATTCAACAATATGGAAGTAGAATCAGCCAGCACACTCGAAGGACTAAATAAATATTTTTGCCATATAACATGTAAATAAGAGTTGTTGGAAAAGATCCTGATGCTTGAAAATAAAAAAAGAGGCCAGAACTATCACTAATATTGCAAATGAGAACTTAAAGCAGTTATAGATAAACAATTCCACTGGATCACAAGATCTTAGAAATAACTGAACAGTCTAAATTTCATAGCTTCTTATGTAAGAGAGAAAAGACTACTTGGGTTAAACATAAATATTACTCCTCTGATTACTATCTTAAGAAAGCAAAGCATACAAGGCAAAACAGATGGGGCAAACTTTCCATGGGAATTCTTCCATGAAGAAACAAAGTAGTGCTTTTACCATAATCCACCCAAAGAAAACACCACAAAGTTTTAATCATTCATTGAATAATGTCTGTAGGATATAATGGGCATGCAACCTTGAAGTTGCATTATCTTCTTCATTAAGAGACATTTCTATCTTGAATCAATTTTTTCCCCCCAGCTTCAGGTATAAGAACAGAGGGGGAAAAACTACGATGTGTCTACTGCTTGATAGATCGGCCAATTGTTTAAAAAAAAAATTAGACAAGTAAGATTGCGGGAAACTTTTTCCCCCCCCCCCCTCCTTTATCTCAAGAGAACAATACACAAGTAGTCTGGGACTACAGAAGTACGTACAGTATTAGCAGTGATAACTGTTCATTTTAAATAAAAATCAATGAAATCTCCAGCCTAATTAAGCCTGTTTACAAAACTCCCTCTTCCCCCAAAGTGCTGTTTCCATATTGTGCTTGCCAGAGTAAACATACTGACAACAGTCTGTGAGCTCAAGGAATTCTAAGCTTCCTCCCAGCCTTGGAACTTTGAAGCAGGCAGGGAGCAAACAAAACACAGATCTCTTTTCCCAGCTCCAAGAATGGAAGGAAGGCCAGGGGTTCTTTTGGCTTTTGAGTAACAGAGTGGGACAGGGATGCCTGCCTTGACCATATAGGTAGCCTGGAAAACACAATGTTTTAGTTTGGATATTTTGAATCCCTCCAATAAGCCTTAGGTAAAGTTTCTACTAGAAGAGACCTTGATAATTAGGATCTATTGAGAGCAATGTACTTTGAAAAATCCTCATGGAAATAAAAACAGAATTTGACCAGGTATGTGTTACACCACAGAGTCCAGTTATTCCTTTGCAATAGGATTCGTGATTGTTATCTTCAAGATCAAAATGGAAATAGTTTCCCCAAAACTCAAAAGAAGATTGTAAGGAACAATCAGAAAAAGGATGCATGACTTTGGGTCAATAAAATAATGAGACACATGTCACCATACTGTACTTAATAAGCATTTACATCAAGAGTGGGGATTCTGAAACTTTTTAGATATTTCCAAACAACTTCTAGCTTCCTTTATCTTTGACTGGCATAGCTGAGGATACCAAGAACTAGCAGTGTTTAAACAGGTTCCCCATCCAAATTATATGCATAAACATCTGCCCCTCAAAGGCACCTGATGATTATGTCATCTTCCCAAGTAGCTTCTACCATCAACATTTGGATCTACTCTAACCTTTTAGTGGTTGCCATACAATTGGCATAACTCTTCTTGTGCTATCTCTCAGGCTTTTCTACAGTTAGGTCAACTGTAGCATGCAGTGTTCTGAGAACACTGGCCATTAATTTGCATGATTTAGGCTACTTTGGACATTGAGTAGGTACCACTAATACCTACTATTAGTGGTACCACCACTAATCCTAGCAGTTTACTAAAGTGAGCAGCAGCATCCAGCAGATATAGCCTTCACTCGATACCCAACTAATTACAATAGCCTCTTCCGCTTAACACAACCTCCACCCCCAAATCTCTCTAACTGAAGAGACTCTGAAGAACTCACCTGCTGTGATGAAATGACTTCAGTTTTGGTTGTAGCAAAACAAACAATACAACTAGGAGAAGGATGAAAGCAACCGAACTTGCTGTAGTAGCCACTATGGATAAGGTGGGTACTCCTACACTTGGAGGAGAACCTTTATCTATGAAATCAAACAAACAAAAAACAGTCAATGGTTTCTCTTTGAGGAAGCAGCTGTTTCCTATAACTAAGGTAGAATTCCAGAATAAGCTCTGTCCTGACAGTAAGCTGTTGGCATAGGCAGTTGTCTTCTCAGAGAAGCCTAGTTTGGGTGAAGTCTGCTGCAATTACATTCAGAGAGAGACATCCTCAGAAAGACCATACCTGGTGGTCGAGTCATGTTCCTTCAGGCTATCTGATAACCCCCCAGGCTTCTTGGTTTAGGTTAACTGAATTTAAAATCATTTGGAAGTCAAAACTATAATGAATATATTCAAGATGACATTTTTGAAATTTATTTAGTTCCAAGAGGAAAAAATAAGCAGCTGAATTATAAGTTTGAATATGACTGTATGACCAAATCAGTATTACTGGAGATTATAGGCAGAATGTTGTGGGAACATTCCATTTTCAAGTCAAAGCTTGACAATAAGGAGATTGGTATTTCTCCTATTATGTTAAAAGCTTTGTTTTTAGAAGGTAAAAAAAAGTCCCAAGCTCAGTTTTTCCACTGAACATGAATATTTCAGATTCAGCATTCATCTGGCCTTCAGGGATTTTGTTTCCCCCCCATAAATTTCTATTAAGTGACATCTACTCCTCTCCTACTGCTGCTACAGTGCCCCCCCCCCTCAATTAAACTTGGCAAATATTTTCTTCCCTTTTTCCCCCTTCATATTATGGGAAAGGAATTCTTATCTAACTGAAAATCTTGCAGGGAACTATTGTTAAGTTGCTTTTGAGAACATTCTCTTCAAGAGAGTCAAGATGGGGCAAAGAACATTCAGTTGCAGCAAGCTATTATCAAGTTGGATCGAAAATCCCTTCCTCTAAATATAATTTAATAGCTATGAATTTGCTTCATTTATCTGTCAAATTTGAAAAATCTGAAGCTACCCAACTCTAGAATGGCATATAATATTAAAATAATAAACCTATCATAACCTACCAAAAAGAGATACAAATTTAATTTATTCAATTTAATATGGCCACCTACTCCAGAAGACATCCAAAGAGAGCAATAGAAATATCAGTCACCATAATTCAGTCACCATAATTCCCAAAAGAGGGTTACTACACACTAACCCAGGATTTAGGGAAAGAGTCAAGTCTTCACAGCTAATTTAAACATAGTCAGGGTCGGGGACCTTTAATGCTTTGGGATTATATTGTGCAAGGAACCAGGCACTGCAACAGAGAAAGTGAAGCCATTCAAGTTTATACCTATTCAGCCTTATGCCTTCCACATGTATTGGGCAACAATATACAGAATTCTCAACCAACATGATCTAAAGTCTTCCCTAGTCCAGGAAATAGCTACAGATTTTTTTTTAAAAAAGAAACTTGATCCTTTTTCAGAATTAAGAAACTTCCGAAACCAAATTCAGAAGCAAGCAGTCAGCATATAGGCGAAATACCTTTCTTTTATTTTTATAAACACCCCTTCTTGAAATGTTATGTGGAAATTACATTTATGTGTTTGCAGTATCGTATAGGGTAGGGGTCCCCAACCCCCAGTCTGTGAACTGGTATTGGGCTGCAACATCCCAGAAACTGGGCTGCGCAATAAAGTGAAGTCCCATCCACGGGATGCAGGCAGGACGTGAAACCACGTCCCCACTGGTTCACGGAAAAACCTGTCCACAAAACTATCCCTGGTGCCCAGAAAGTTGAGGGCTGCTAAGACAGGGAGTCAGAAAAGCTGCAAATATTAGGGAACACTTCTGTATCTCTGCAAATTACACTTTTCTGAATTACAAGGGGAATATACTGCACAGTGGAGCCCATCAAATGGCTCATTTGATTGCGCTGTTGCTGGAGATGGGTGAAGGGTTATTGTTTTTCCCATACTGTATTTTTATTGTTTATAAGCTACCTAAAGTTGCTGTGAGCGAATAGGCGGCTATATACATTTTCTAAGCAAAAAAAAAAAAAAGGTAGCTAAATTGGTAGAGAACTGAAATAAGTTTGAAATAAAGATTTCTTTTTAGAGAGACTCTATCCCAATACTCTCCTATGGTATAGCTAGGATTTTATGTCAGTATCTGAAAACACTAGACAAAAATAAACAGCACAGAAAGCAAAAGTGAGCATATTCACTCAGATATACTGACCTTGGCTAAGTCTACAGGTAACCTCCAGTTCTGGATTCCACTTGCCATTCTTGCAAGTCAAATATTTGTAATCTCCTTTCAATACATAACCTTTGTCACAGAAATACTCTATGACACTGTCAGATGTCAGTGGGTCTTTGCAAGGCGTTGGATGACATTTGTAACCTCCATTCTCAGGTTTGGATGGCTGTGGACAGTCTGCAAAGGAAAACAGAAACTATGACCCCAGCTTTTAAGCAATAAATCCTATTAATGTGTACTGTTGTGTGTAATTTACTACTCAGGTGTCGTAACCCAGGACCATAGCATCACTGCATTTCAACAAACAGTGAAACATAACAATTGGCATTCTCATCTTGCTACTTTGAAGATTAGTGATGAATGGTGGGTCTCCATGATGAAGATCTCCATCTTCATCTATGAAAATGGTCATCTAATATATCCTGTAGCAGATTCTTTTACGTGTGTGTGTGTGTGTGTGTGTGTGTGTGTGTGTGTGTGTATTGTTTTTAGACTGATAGACTGATTTAGCCAGAAATCTTTCCTAAAAGGATTGTTGTTGCTGAGATTTAGTTTGTAACTAATGCTTCTGGTGACCATCACAATTATCTCAACTCATTCTAGAAGTTTGCTTTAATTGCAATATGTCCATTCAAAGTCATAAATTCTCAAGAGATAGTAGGAATAGGAAGACAAAGTAAAAAAATAAAAAGAGGACATGACATGGACTTTCCACACATTCATGTGGGCATACATTGATAGCCTATTTTATATTTTGCAATCTGTAAGCAAGTATGAATTGCTAGGAACAGAATTAGTGAGGAGAACACAAATGTTCTCTTTTGAGAACCATGAATGAGCGTTCAACAAATTTTGACATTGACTATGCTTATCCAAGTCTTCACTCAGGAAACAAGGTCAGTGGGATTTATGAAGTTGGTTAGCTTCAAACAGTGATTTAGCCAAGACCAAGGTAAATAAGAATGTGAATTTGTTGCTTTATGTAGCTTAAAATATTATACCCATCCTGATCAGCACAAGCTAAAACACAGTTGGCTTGGCAGCAATTGGCAGGTGGATAGAAAAGATTGAAATCCATTCACTCTTTGAAGAACTGGGAAAACTACAACCGGGTATAAACAGCTACCACCCATCAATATTGTTATAAATATGAAAATCTTGCAACTGTGGAAACAGAGAATAATTTTAATTCTAAAAACTTAATTTTAACATTTTAAATTTTATATACTTTTTAAAAATTTTGATGTTTTATTGTATACCACCAAAGTTCCTCTTTGAGGCAGATGACTGATTTAGAAATGTGAAAAATAAATAAATAAATAAATAAATAAATAAATAAATAAATAAATAAAAAACTCTGCAATGTTAAAAAACATCAGTTATTGTAAAAATAATACCATAAAGTGTATTCTAGTCCATTAACATGTGCATTAGAGTATAAGCATTGTGTACTACAATAATCAAATGCACTAAGAACCTTTTTTGCATAGTAAGTATATATAAATACACTCCTAACATACAAGTTAAACATCTAATAAACACAGCTGTAAACTAGAGAACGTTACACCATATTGTATTTGCTAAGGTGCCATATGTTTGTGTTAGTAAATTAGTAAAATTAAATAAATTGTGTTCCCCGTTGTAACTCTCCTTGTCCCCTTGCTAGATGTTTTCATAAAATTCAGGTGTCTTCAACATGCTACAATCTGTCCCAAAGTGTCAGAGTAAGACTTTGGAAGATATTTTGTGATGAAATCCAAGATTTACCTAGATACATCTTTTTAAGTAGATGAATAATGAGTTTTAAATATAACTCATTTTAGTTTCTACTGCACTTTAATAGGACTTTTAATCAATTAAGATTCTGCTTATAGTAAGCCCTCAATTTAGCAGACAAAATTCAGTGGATCCGATTACAGATAGGAACTTTACCCTGAACAATGAACAAAATCCATCACTCGGCAGATCAGATATCTGCTCAAAAAGGGTACATTCACAGACTTATAAGTAAAGCACAGGCGTGTTTTTATACTTGAAAAATCCCAATTGCCATTTAACAGATATTTTTCTTTAATAGATTAATATTAAAGAAATATCTTTATTTGTCTTTAATATTAACCAGTATTAATATTAATCTTTAATAGATTCTTCCAAACTGAGCGTGTATGTAGTTTTATTCTGAACACTAACAATAAAGAACCAAGTATTAATTGCTCCACTGTGGTCTTCTTCATATTCAGTGCTGATTGAAAAATTACTATTTCTCTATCAAGAGTTCATAATAAAGAAGTCTTTTTGAATATACTAAAATGAATAAATAAGATCACATTCAAGATAAAGGGTTTGTCTATGTAATCATAGCTATACATTTATGTAATTAGATTCAGTTACATACACAGAATAAAATGTGCCTAATCATTTCAAGCTTCTTCAAAAAAAATTTAAACAAAAGACATCAAAAGGGGAAAAAAGACTAATTATAGTCTTGCACCAATGCAGCCACCAGCTGGAGATTCACAAAAAGCACAGAGTTGAATTACCTTAATTAACACTCAACACAAGGATTAGCACATGCTCATTAAACCTCTGCCACTAAGAAACCATGGAGGAAGCTGTGCCTTACACAGAACCATCAATTAAAATGTTTTTTTGTAATATGTCTGCCTTGCCAAGCTAAGACTATATTGTACATTCAGCAATAGAGCTCTCCTATTTCAATAAAATCTATATCTTAAAAAAGCAATAGTAGTATCCTTTCCAAAATGGAAAAGATATCCATTTCATATCTTAGTATGATTGTGAAATGTAACAACATTTTCAGATGAATAACTTGGCAATTATCATAGGATCAGACCAGAAAGCCAGTGCTAAACAGCCACATTCAGACAAAGAAAATGTACAATATTTAACTCAAATGCAAGCAGACAGGCCTTTAAAAATATCTGAAGCTCTCTCTGGGAGAAGCACTTTTTGAACAGGCAAAAATTGTCTCCTCTCCCAATTATTATGTCCACCCGATCTCATTGACAATGAAGTTTTATTTCCATTAACTGCCAACAAGCTTTTAAAGCTAAAGAAGAGGGAACAGCAAAAATGAGTTTCATAGGCAAATGTAGAAATGGTGAATATTTTGTCTCTTTAGTAATTATTTGCAACACAGAATGTATTCTACTTAATGTAAATCCTTCTATGTAACACAGCAGATTGTCTAATTTCAGTTTAAAAAACTGGTTTAATTTGCAGAATAAAATGGGTGGGTGAATAAGCTCCTCTAGGACATGCCTGTACTAACTTAAATTCTTTTGATGTAATATGAGCAGAAAACAGCTACAGACCTTTTAATTTTAGTTCATTCTTAGAACATGTTCAATAACATGCTGAAAGAAAAAAAACATGCCGGCAATGCTAACAACTGTTCCCATGAGAATGAGAGTTGTTGAAGAAATAATGTTATATGTCACAAAAGATGGAGAAAATATTCCTGGATTATATTTATTGAAGCCTCTCCTGCTGTTAAAGAACGTGAAGTGATTATCACTATGGCACTAAAGAAATGGTCTGGGATTTCAAATCAGAACGAGTGGAATCAAGAAAGGCAGAGACCTTTAGGAAGGCTTTGAGTACTCAGCACACTATTTTCCTGAAATATGCTGATTGTTTTCTGATATTCTAACGGTCTACAATAGGGGTGTCAAACTAGCAGCCCGTGGGCCAGATGCAGGGGTGGGCTGCTGGGGGTTTGCAGGAGTTCAGAAGATCCTCTCGCTAAGATTCTGCACAGTTCAGAGAACCCCCAAATCCCACTCCTGCCTGGTCCCACCACCCCTCCCCTCCCAGAGTTCCCACACAGCCCGTTTTGGATGCAGGTAAGCGCAGAGGCTCAGGGACGGTGAAAAACAGGCCTCCTGGAAGTTTGGGAAGGTGGGAAACAGGCCCATTTTCTACTTCCAGAGAGCCTCTGGAGCCTGGGGAGGCCATTTTCACTCTCCTGGACCCTCAAGGAAAGCCTCCAGAGCCCGGTGAGGGCAAAACCACCCCACCCTCGCCGTGGTGTAGGAGGCCAACTAAGCCACCATGGACACGCCAACCCAGCAACCGGACAACCTGTTGCTAAAAAATTTTAAGCCCACTCCTGGCCAGATGCATTATGCACAGGCCACGCCCACCCCAGATCCACAAAGGGGAAAAACATCATGATACATCACGTGACGCCACAGATTTGACATCCCTGGTCTACAGAATACTGACACTGCTGGAGGTGTATAACAAATTTTCAAACTAAAAGCTGAGAAACATATAGTTTCTGAAGTCAAAGTAACAGAAGGAGAAGAAATTGGCACTGAAAAGGTAAGGATTTGAAAAAGTGGGTGTTTCAGTGAAGAGAACTGGAAGAGCAGGATTAAAGAGATCAAGCCCCAAAAGACTGGAATAGTTCTGATGGAGGCAGATGAACATCATGAAAGATTCTTTCAATTTAAATTTCCAAAGCACACCTGCACTTAAGAGCTGCAGCATCCTTCACTCTTTTGTTTCCTTAGTAATCCTCAGATAACATTGACAGGTCTCAACATTAAACTTTACTAAAAACAGAAGTGGTAAAAATTATAAAAGATTCATGGATTTTGCTGCCATGGCTACATAAAACCTTTAACTGTAAACTCAACATTTGATATTGCCAAGCTTTTGATTTACAATCTAATACTTGATAAGGATACCTAGTTAAAATAAGAGGAAACATAGTTAGGAAGCAGAAAAGAAATAAGAATGACTTATAAGTTTCTAACAATTCAATGATAAACTAAAATTGCATCTATATACATGGACATCATCAGACTGAGTACACAGAAATCAAATTGGTTATATATTATTGCAACACATAACTGGCGGTTTTAAGAGCAAAAATGTGCCTGGAGCTGACTGTGGAACAAATCAAAAATAGTTCATGTGAAAGTTCCAATTTAAGCTCAAGTAGAACAAAATGAACCAGTTTTCATGATATGATCTTGATCTTGAGCATGTACACATGTTTTGAAGGAAAACATCAGGAATCACTTTAAAGTCCTGAACCTCATTAACAGGAACTGTGGAATGAAATCAAAGAAGTTGTTTAGGATGAATGTGAAAAGAGACGGCCAAAGACCAAGCATCAAAAGAAAATAAACTGGATGTCAGACGTG